TGTGTATCCCCTACCACTCAGTTGTAAGGGGGTTGTAACACTGATGTAATAGTGACAGTGATGTGTATCCCCTACCACTCAGTTGTAAGGGGGTTGTAACACTGATTTAATAGTGACTGTAATGTGTATCCCCTACCACTCAGTTGTAAGGGGGTTGTAACACTGATGTAATAGTGACAGTGATGTGTATCCCCTACCACTCAGTTGTAAGGGGGTTGTAACACTGATTTAATAGTGACTGTAATGTGTATCCCCTACCACTCAGTTGTAAGGGGGTTGTAACACTGATTTAATAGTGACAGTGATGTGTATCCCCTACCACTCAGTTGTAAGGGGGTTGTAACACTGATTTAATAGTGACTGTAATGTGTATCCCCTACCACTCAGTTGTAAGGGGGTTGTAACACTGATGTAATAGTGACAGTGATGTGTATCCCCTACCACTCAGTTGTAAGGGGGTTGTAACACTGATTTAATAGTGACTGTAATGTGTATCCCCTACCACTCAGTTGTAAGGGGGTTGTAACACTGATTTAATAGTGACAGTGATGTGTATCCCCTACCACTCAGTTGTAAGGGGGTTGTAACACTGATTTAATAGTGACTGTAATGTGTATCCCCTACCACTCAGTTGTAAGGGGGTTGTAACACTGATTTAATAGTGACAGTGATGTGTATCCCCTACCACTCAGTTGTAAGGGGGTTGTAACACTGATTTAATAGTGACTGTAATGTGTATCCCCTACCACTCAGTTGTAAGGGGGTTGTAACACTGATTTAATAGTGACAGTGATGTGTATCCCCTACCACTCAGTTGTAAGGGGGTTGTAACACTGATTTAATAGTGACTGTAATGTGTATCCCCTACCACTCAGTTGTAAGGGGGTTATAACACTGGTGTAATAGTGACTGTAATGTGTATCCCCTACCACTCAGCTGTAAGGGGGTTATAACACTGGTGTAATAATGACTGTGATGTGTATCCCCTACCACTCAGCTGTAAGGGGGTTATAACACTGGTGTAATAATGACTGTGATGTGTATCCCCTACCACTCAGCTGTAAGGGGGTTGTAACACTGGTGTAATAATGACTGTGATGTGTATCCCCTACCACTCAGCTGTAAGGGGGTTATAACACTGGTGTAATAATGACTGTGATGTGTATCCCCTACCACTCAGCTGTAAGGGGGTTATAACACTGGTGTAATAATGACTGTGATGTGTATCCCCTACCACTCAGCTGTAAGGGGGTTATAACACTGGTGTAATAATGACTGTGATGTGTATCCCCTACCACTCAGCTGTAAGGGGGTTATAACACTGGTGTAATAATGACTGTGATGTGTATCCCCTACCACTCAGCTGTAAGGGGGTTATAACACTGGTGTAATAATGACTGTAATGTGTATCCCCTACCACACAGCTGTAAGGGGGTTGTAACACTGGTGTAATAGTGACTGTGATGTGTATTCCCTACCACCCAGATGTAAGGGAGTTATAACACTAGTGTAATAGTGACTGTGATGTGTATCTCCTACCACTCGGTTGTAAGGGGGTTGTAACACTGATGTAATAGTGACAGTGATGTGTATCCCCTACCACTCAGCTGTAAGGGGGTTGTAACACTGGTGTAATAGTGACTGTAATGTGTATCCCCTACCACTCAGCTGTAAGGGGGTTGTAACACTGGTGTAATAGTGACTGTAATGTGTATCCCCTACCACTCAGCTGTAAGGGGGTTGTAACACTGGTGTAATAGTGACTGTAATGTGTATCCCCTACCACTCAGCTGTAAGGGGGTTGTAACACTGGTGTAATAGTGACTGTAATGTGTATCCCCTACCACTCAGCTGTAAGGGGGTTGTAACACTGGTGTAATAGTGACTGTAATGTGTATCCCCTACCACTCAGCTGTAAGGGGGTTGTAACACTGGTGTAATAGTGACTGTAATGTGTATCCCCTACCACTCAGCTGTAAGGGGGTTGTAACACTGGTGTAATAGTGACTGTAATGTGTATCCCCTACCACTCAGCTGTAAGGGGGTTGTAACACTGGTGTAATAATGACAGTGATGTGTATCCCCTATCACTCAGCTGTAAGGGGGTTGTAACACTGGTGTAATAGTGACAGTGATGTGTATCCCCTACCACTCAGCTGTAAGGGGGTTATAACACTGGTGTTATAGTGAGAGTGATGTGTATCCCCTACCACTCGGTTGTAAGGGGGTTGTAACACTGATGTAATAGTGACAGTGATGTGTATCCCCTACCACTCAGTTGTAAGGGGGTTGTAACACTGGTGTTATAGTGACTGTAATGTGTAACCCCTACCACTCAGCTGTAAGGGGGTTGTTTCACTGGTGTAATAGTGACAGTAATGTGTAACCCCTACCACTCAGCTGTAAGGGGGTTGTAACACCGGTGTAATAATGACAGTGATGTGTATCCCCTACCACTCAGTTGTAAGGGAGTTGTAACACTGGTGTTATAGTTACTGTAATGTGTAACCCCTATCACTCAGCTGTAAGGGGGTTGTAACACTGGTGTAATAATGACAGTGATGTGTATCCCCTACCACTCAGCTGTAAGGGGGTTATAACACTGGTGTTATAGTGAGAGTGATGTGTATCCCCTACCACTCGGTTGTAAGGGGGTTGTAACACTGATGTAATAGTGACAGTGATGTGTATCCCCTCCCACTCAGTTGTAAGGGGGTTGTAACACTGGTGTTATAGTTACTGTAATGTGTAACCCCTTCCACTCAGCTGTAAGGGGGTTGTAACACTGGTGTTATAGTGACAGTAATGTGTATCCCCTACCACACAGTTGTAAGGGGGTTGTAACACTGGTGTTATAGTTACTGTAATGTGTAACCCCTACCACTCAGCTGTAAGGGGGTTGTAACACTGGTGTTATAGTTACTGTAATGTGTATCCCCTACCACTCAGCTGTAAGGGGGTTGTAACACTGGTGTTATAGTGACTGTAGTGCAACTCTATGATGATAGAAATGATTGACATGTATGTACAACCATTTCCAGCTGAAGTGATTTCTAAGCCGACTAAGTGTTTTGATACTTGCTAAATCAATAGCACCTTCATAGCAGCTAATGGTAGTGTAAACGGAGGTACAGATGCCTGGCTCGTAATGCGGCCAGACCCGATGCTTGGCCATGTATTTCTCTTGCTGGACACACTCTCAGTTTATGTCCCGTATTGCTATAAAATATTAATAGCCTAAGCCCAATACTGTTTCCACGCGATCAGATGTCTCGTTTTTGTATTAGTCTTGTTTGTGTGTTTGTGATAAACATTCACACAATGATATCATTACAGAAGTCACTGTAAGGTGTAATGTACAAACAGTCAAGTTATTTCATCTTTTTTAAATGACAATTATAATGTCAAGGATTGACAATTGCATCAATATAAAATATCCTGTCACATGACAATAAACTATCACACAAAACACCTTTGAAGGAAACAACAGTACATGTACCAAGTGACGTAGTCAAACTTGTAAAGCCTCAGATTGAATTCTTTCCTAATGTGACCCTTGCTACACGTTTGTCAGTTCTTAATACCTGCATGTCAAACTGCTATTCTTCTTGAAAATACAAACCAGAAACAAGGTCATATTCATTGTTGGATGCTTTGTAATACAAAAACTGAATTTTGCAACTAAGAATGAAATTACCTCTGAAATTAGAATTAAAGTAAGGTTGCTGGTATGTTAGGTACCTTTTATTTGGAATTAAATTGAGGTTGTTGAGAATGAGGTAACCTTTGAATTTGAAGTAAAGCGAGGATTTTGAGAATGACGATTAACTTAGAATTACATTGTGGTTGCTGAGAATATTCAGGTTACCTTTGAATTGGAATTAAAGTTAGATGGATGAGAATGTGAAAATGGGGAAAATCGGAATTTAAATGAGGTTGCTGAGAATGAGATTACCTTTGAATTGTGCCACTGTGACTGATCAAACATGTGTAGCGGAACTGAACTGGGTCGGTTTGACGACCAGGTAGCTCAATTGGTAGAGCGCCCGTCTAGAGTTTGTAGGGTCTCGAGTTCGAACCTCGGTCTGGGTTTGCTTTTTTCCTCTCCTGCTATACGTGTATAGTCTTCCTGTATGTTTTTTGTTAATGAAGATTTTAGCTTGAATATACACAAACAGTTCAGAATGGTCCGAACTTATAAATGAAAGCCTTTGAATTATTGTTCTCTGAGTGCCCGTTTAACACATCTCTGAATAACCTGCATACACTTCTTTAGCTTAAATTCACATTTCCTGTTTTTGTCTGATATGTTGTCGAAGCTTTCAGGTTTTGAAATGTAATGGGTAAGGCTTGTTTAGTGTCAGACGGTTAGTAACTAGGCTTCTGATGACCAGCGGTTACTCAGACTGCAGCCACTCACATCCGATGTCAAGTGACAGTTCTAATCCTGGTAAAGAGATTTCACAATATTTACTGGACAATCTCATCAGGTAAATTATGCATAAATAAAGTAGCTAGATTCAGATAGCCCTCTTATGTCGATATCTCATTTCTGTGTCCACTCTGACATAGTGAACCAATGATGTTATATGTAAGACAGGATGTGTAGAAATATAGATACATCAATAGACAGTAGCCTCTGTTAGTTACTCTCTCTCTGACTGAGAATACAGGACAGACACCACCACATGTATACAGTCTGTGCATTTAATCTGCAGTTGTTTACTCTTGTAGCGGAACTGGGCTCGGTCGATTGTCGGCGACCAAGTAGCTCAATTGGTAGAGCGTCCATCTAGAGTTCGGAGGGTCCCAGGTTCGAACCTGTCTAACCATTACATTTTCTCTTTCTCCTGTTACACTTCCATTGTTCTGTCAAGACACACATATCTTACAGTCAGAAAATAATGCTTGCTTAATCTTCGGAGATGTTTAAAAATTATCTAGAATATATGGAATCTCGTTGATAACGTTTGTTGAGATGTTCCTACATTTTGTTTCAGTATTCTGTATGCCGACATAGTAAACTTCACCCCTCTGGCTGCAGAATGCACTGCTTCCGAATTGGTCAAGATGTTAAACGAACTGTTTGGGAGGTTTGACCAGCTAGCAGAGGTAAATATACCAATATAAAAGATGACCGCCGCCAACCTTTTAATTATTGAGTCTGTCTACTTTAAATCCCTCATAGTGTGTAAGGTATACAAGCATTGGGTGTTCATT